ATCCCAGTATGGGTACTGCTGAAGCCAACACGAGGTACCCACAAAATAAGACTTCTATTAGAGCCTGCACCGAGAAGTCTTATAGTGATCTGCACTGAACAGCACCATCCTTGGTACCAGAGGAGGATGGACTCCTCTAGGAGCAGTGACTCTTCTAAGAAGCCTTCAATGCATGCTCTGGTACCATCTTTCTTGGGCCACAGCCACAGCAAAAGCAAGGGACTCTGCCTCCATATCATCTCTGGTACCATTTGAGGTTCCTGTGGAGCACTTCCAAGGCTCTCCAGTACTCATCAGTTTCCTTTCCTAGGAGGATTTATTTGCTGTCGACACTGTAATTTCCCTCTTTAACAGGTACTGAGAGGGATCCTTTGCCAGCACCATCATGACCTTCGGAGTCACAGCTCCCATCCTTGCTACTGTATCCCACTCCTTTCCCTTATAAACCACCACAGTGGATTTTCTGGAACCCATAGGATAATTATACTGACCAGTATTACATGGTGTCCTCCTGCAAAAGGCCTCATCCAGACCAACAGCAACTGGTACTGCAGTACCCTCCCCACCAGAAGGACCACTTGGAGGAGCAAGAGCGAGTAGTTGGGAGAATGACAGGTTTCAGAGTAGCAGCCGTGTTAGTCTGTATCCGCAAAAAGAAGAACAGGAGTACTTGTGGCACCTTAGAGACAGCTTTCATGGACTACAGCCCACTTCGAAGAAGTGGGCTGTAGTCCACGAAAGCTTATGCTCTAATAAATTTGTTAGTCTCTAAGGTGCCACAAGTACTCCTGTTCTTCTTTTTTTAGTTGGGAGAAGACACCACCATCTGACAAGTCCTCCTCCTCCCCCAATGAGGCAGTTATTCCGACCCCCACCATCTTATACAGATGATTGCAAGGCCTTTCAAGACCTGATGAAAAGGGAGAGGAGTCACTCCAGATTCCCTGGGAGGAGATACAGAAAGTACAGCACTCCCTTTTGAACATTCTGTCCCCCAGGGCAAGGTTGCCTTTCTCATTAATGAGGCATTACTTTCACCATCCTGCGCTGAATGGAAGACACCTACAACCATCCCACCCACTTGCAAGAGGGCTGACAGAAATATTATGTACTGTCCAAGGGTCTGGAATAATTTTTTCTCCCAACTCCCCTCCCCCCCGTCAACTTCTTGGCAGTGGATGCTGTAAGTGAAAGGAATCGAGAAGCTTGCTCTTAAGAACATAAGAACAGCCATACTGTGTCAGACCAAAGGTCCATCAAGCCCAGTATACTGTCCTCTGACAGTGGCCAATGGCAGGTGCCCCAATGGGAATGAACAGACAGGTTATTGTCAAGTGATCCATGCCCTGTCACTGAATCCAAGTTTTTGGCAAACTGAGGCTAGGGACACCATTCCTTGATGGATCTCCTGGCTAATAGCCATTGATCGACCTATCTTCCATGAATCTATCTAGCTCCCTTTTGAACCCCATTATAGTATTGGCCTTCACAACACCCTCTGTCAAGGAGTTCCAGAGGTTGACAGTACGGTGCATGAAAAAATACTTTCTTGTGTTTGTTTTAAACCTGCTACTTATTAATTTCATTTGGTGGCCCCTTGTTCTTGAATTATGAGAAGGAGTAAATAACATTTCCTTATTTACTTTCTCTATACCATTCATACTGAAGCCGTTCTATACACCTAATCATTTTTGTTGCCCTTTTCTGAACCTTTTCCACTTCCAATATATCTTTTTTGAGATGGGGCCTAAAGTCTTCAGTAATAACACTGCTGGTTACCTCCATTCTCTTAAAGATTCCAGGGCTACTCTGCGACCTCTCAAGATTTTTACCTGCCCCATGCAAGACTACACCTTCAGTGCCTCCAGGCCTGGCTCAAGACTGTTTACATTCCCAGCTAGTACAATCTTTTCAAAATGGCTGACCTTAATACCCCTCACCCCACAAGAGTTCTCAACTCCCTCAACTGGTGGAAGGATCCTTGCAAGGTTTGTGTGGGAGTCTCCTTTTCATGTCCATCCTCATCAAGGGTCATCACCATGGGTGCCTCCCTGCTGGGTTGGGGTACCCATTTCCAAGACATTACATCCCAGGACTGGACTCCCCATGAAGGGTCCCTCCAAATCAACATGCTAAAACTCAGAGAAACCACTGTGATAAAGTGATGCTGGACAACAGAATGGCATTATACTGCATAAATTGGCAAGTGGGAGAAAGATCTCAATCATTGTGCACAGAGGCAATATGGGTATAGAACTTGTGTATACCCCATCACATAGACATGTCAGAGGCCTATGTGCCCGGCCTGCAGAACACCATAGTAGACTCCCTGAGCACTTTCACCAAAAGCATGAGAAGAAACTCAGCTTCTCAGTCTTTCAGAGCATTTGGCAATCCTAGGGCCTTCCAGAGACAGATCTCTTTGCAACACCATCCAATGTGATGTGCCATTGACTCTGCTCAAGGGGAGGTTATGGCCACAACTCAACGGGGGACACCCTCCCCATCCCTTGGCCTCTTACCCTCTTATACACCTACCCTCCAACATCATTGATCCTCAAGGCTCTGAAGAAACTAAAGCGAGAGAGATCAGCAACTTTTCTGATAGCACCGTTATGGCTGGAGCAAATGTGGTTCCCCATTTTGTTTCATCTATCTCTGCAGGCATCTTTCACTTTCCACTGATGGTGGATCACCTGAAACAGGAACCAGGCATCAGGACCCACCCCGAACATCTCTTCACTGCGCCTCAAGGCTTGTTTCCTTGATGGATCTCAGGCATAGAAACTGGACTGTTCTCCCAAAGTTAAGACTGTACTTCTGAGCATTAAAAAACCCATCACAAGGAAAATCTACCTCTAAAAGTGGGAGTGTTTCAAAGCCTAGTGTACTCATCAATCTATATCCCCCTGCAAGTCGCGCCTTACAATCATGCTCAATTACCCCCTTTAGTTTAATTTAAAAACACCAGGTTTGACACTCAATTCCTTTAGGCCCACCTAACTGCCAATACAGCCTTATACCCACCCGTTGAAGGGTTGTCTGTTTTCAATAACCTTGCACAGTGAGTTTCCTTAAGGGCTTATGTAACCTCTTTCCCTATGACAAGTAGCCCTACTCCTCCTTGGGATCTGAACCTAGTTCTCAATGTCCTGAGATATCCTCCATTTGAATCCATGGGCAGCTGTTCATTCCTTCATTTGTTTTTTAAGACTACATTCCTCATAGCCATAACCTTGGCCACAAGGATAGAAGAGCTAGGGCTACTCATGGCTGACTGCCTGTACATGATTTTCTACCATATTAAAGTAGCTTATAGTCCCATCCTCACTTCCTGCCTAAAGTATCATCAGAATTCCATATCAATCAAGTCATTCGACTTGCAATATTCTACCCTAAGTCTTACTCCTCAAGAGAAGTGGCTAGTCTTCATAATCTGGCCGAAAGAAGGGCTCTTACCTTCTACCTTAATAGAATGGAACCTTTCCAGGCCTTTCAAATACTCTTTACCTCCTTCACAGAAAGGATGAAGGGGCAGCCAGTTTTTTACTCAAAGGCTATCAAAATGGGTTTCATGATGTATCTCAGCTAATTACGAAGCTTCCAGAGTGCATCCCCAACCTGGAGTGACTGCCCATTCCACAAGAACTCAATCTACCTCTTAAGGACATCATCATCATGGACATTTGCAGGGCCACCACCAGGTCATCCATTCACACATTCTCCAAGCATTACAGTGTTGTATCTGCTTCCAGGGCAGATATGACTTTCGGTGATGCTATTCTCTGAGCTGTACTGCATCTGTCTCATTAACATGCACTTCCTCATAGAAATACTGCTTGGGAGTCTCCCAAGGTGGAACTATAACTCAAAAAAGTCTCCTAAGACTCAATGACTCAAAAAAGTCTCCTAAGACTATAACTAAAAAAAAAAAAAAAAGAAGGAGATGTTATTTATCTGTACAGTAACTGGAGTTCTTCAAGATGTTTTGTTCCTATGGGTGCTCCACCACCCAACCTCATTCTCCTCTGATGTGAAGTCTTACTTCGACTTTATGGTTGAAAAGGAATTGGAGTGGTGATCTGCCCTCTTTCTATACCCTCACACTGGAGCATGAGGATATGTTCGGTGCAGGCACAGCTAACTAAAATCTCTGATCAAGTGTGTAAGGGCACGTGCATGTGCTAAGGTGAAGCATCAAAGCATCTCAAAGGACTCCAGTTACTATACAGATAAGTAACTTCTCCTTCTCCAGTAACAACACTCACCTCCCTTTGTTCATTCTTTCAGCACCAAAGCTGCATAAATATCAGATATTTCTAATTCTTATATTAACTTCCAGTACAGATTTTTTACCAACACAGGCCCAGCCTATTTCAGAAAGGATTAATTCCAAAAATATTGAGTCCTTATGAACACAGTACATTTTCTCTGCAACTAGTTAGTATGTCAAAAGCTTTCTGCTGTAGCTGTTTTATTTATTTAGTACCAGATTGTGAGTATTTTACTCGTCCGATAGTCCCATTGAAATGAATGTGACCATTTGAGGAGTAAGGTTCTCAACACATGAGTAAGGATGTCACAGTGTTGCCCTTACTTTTTTATAAAATTATAATAGCATCCACTTTCTCACGATACTGGATACTGCAATCACTTAAAACAGTCAAAATACATTTTTTTCAAACATAACTCCATGACATAAAAACCAAGCTGCTGTTAAATATAGTTGAGGGAGTCAGTTAAAAAGCCTGACTCAATGGTTAAGTCTTTTGCTGCATTATAGAAGTCAGGCTCTGGTGTTCTTGGGGTCTGAACCTTTCTCTGAGAATCGCGTACCACAAGTCCTGGAGAGCTCAATCCCAGGAATAAACAAGAGTAATTGAGCAGAGTGGGATTAGATATTGCTCAAATAAGAAGGGAGATCCTGTAGAGAAAATGATGTTCAATAAACAGGAGAGCTGTTGTCTTTAATTTGTTATTTTGTTTTTGGGGGGATATAGGAACGTGTTCCAGACAGCCCGTCTCCTGCTCCTTCCCTTGAAGAAGGTCGAAGACCTGGCAGCCATCCATCATCTCATCGAAGCAGCAGTGTGTCCAGCTCACCTGCACGGACTGAGAGCTCGTCAGACAGAATCCGTAGGTCACATTCTTCTACTTGTCACCATTTTAAATTTGATTAAGTTAAGCTATTTTTTTTCTAATCAAAATACCTTAATTCTAATTAGATCTAGATGTATCATGTTCTGGAGTTCAGCTGCAATAGCTATTGCCCAACATTAAGTTCCCCAGTTTACAGTATCGTAATGTATGATGCTTCATTAATAGGTACTGATGAAAACTGCCATTATGTCATATTAAGCATAAAGATATAAACTATGAAACAGAATTGCAGCGAGAAAGCAATTTGCTAGACTAGTTTCAGAACTGAACATATACAAATTGTGACACATTTATGTATTTTACAGTTTTATTTAATTCTGTTACCCTAGTGGACGTCTATATTAAAGCTGACTTCAGAAGTGACATTTTATGGGATAGTTCAATTCTAAAAAAAAACAATTCTAGGTAAAATACATTTTTTTAAAAAATCTGCACAAACATTAGAGTGGGGAATATGATACAAGTAATATTTTCACTCCAGAACTTACAAGGGATAGAATCAAATTAAACTGTGAAATTTCATGAATTTGTTGTGAAGGTTCCATGTCTAGGATTTTTGGATCCCTGGAATCTGAGGTACTCCAGTGCAGCAGCCTGAAAACTGAAGGTTTTAGACCATAGTATTTTATGCATATTAAATTCAATTTATTTTACCCTGTCCTCACCTTTTCATTTTTTGCTAGGTTGCAGACTTTTGTACTAACAACACATCACAGCATTGCTGAAGTTGTCAGCTGGTGAAACCGAAGGTTTTGGTCCCTTAATAAGAGACAGTTAAGATTTTTAGCTCATGTGTAAACATCGGGAGGCATTTTGGGATTCTGGTTAGATAAACACATTGGATGGCTGTTTCAGGCTTTCTGCAGACTCAGGAAGGTAACACTATATTGGTTTAGATTTGAATAATATTTTCAAAATTATTTTCATAACCATGATTAACAAAAAACAGTTTTAAAAAATGAAATTGTAGATTGTAGGGCAACATATTACAACAATGCCTGGATTCTGTGGTCAATTCCATAGTCACAGAATAGCAGCTGAGGTCAGAAGCCCTCCATATTGTCCCTGGGGTGACAGAGTTCCTCAGTCACTGCAGACATTTTTTTTTATTTTAAAATAAAACACCTAGTCCTGTTCCACTTGCCACTCCGCATCCCATTTCTAATAACTGCTTCTCCATGTGTGGTACCTGTAGGGGCAAGATGGCTGCTTGAGAAATAGGGATCAAATCCGAGAAAGGAGTGGAGAGCTAATCTACAGGAGTTCCCTGAACCTCATTCTTAGGATATTTTTTTTTGCCATTGCTTTCTGGGCTAGTTTTTCTCAGAATGTGTCAGACTCTTGCCCAACTGGTTTATATGGGATGCTCTGGCTTTTGTGCCTCAGAAGGCTGGGTTTAAGGGGCTGGCTAAATGGAGACAATAGAAATTAGATATGGAAAGGACCTACCAGACTAGCTAGCCAGTCTGCCTACCATTTCAAGATTATTCTCTATGGTGTATTTGCTTTCTTACATGACAGGTGTCAGTGCTTTTAGCCTATGGAATTTAGGATACTAATATACAGTTTTTGTAAAATCAAATTTTAAAATCTTATTCATCTCTCATGAAGCTTCTCATGTTACCTTCCATTCTTTCCCAATAGTACTTCATCCTGAGTTTCAGCTCTTGCGTAGTGTTTTAAAACATGCTATACAACCAAAGTTAGCAGCTTTAAATGAAACATTGAATCCAAAGAATTAGTGGGGAAAAGGGGCTCCCTTTGAGTGGATTTAAAATCACTAATTAAATGACATTGAGATTATTAGTTTTCTTGTACAATTGAGACAGTATCTAAAAGAATACAGACATGAATAATATTGTTAAAATTATTGTAAGTTTGTGTACGTGTGTTAATATTATTGTTGGTTTTATGTCTCTGTGTGTATGACTAGCAGCTGTACATCAGAATGGACTATCCATGAACCAGATGCTGATGGGTTTATCACCTAACGTCTTACCTGGCCCTAAAGAAGGTGATCTGGCTGGTCATGAGGTTGGACATGAGACAAAAAGAATACATATTGAGAAAGGTAACATGGATTTTATGCTCTTATGGATTTTATTCCCTTATGATATTTATATATATGAATGAGACCCTGTTCTCAGTAGCTGCATGATATTTATTATTCGTTATTTTATTATTTTATATTTATTATTATTATTTTATTTATTGTATTAATGTTGTGGCATAAGTGAGACCCTAAATGGCTTTTCTGTCTCTTCTCCTACTTTATAGTCCAGTAAGGAGTATGATATTGTTGAATAATAGCTATAAAGAGAAAAACTAAATACATATTACATAGAAGGATAGATATAACAAATGTAGGCCTGAACTATTTCCTCATGATCTAGGTAAATGACTGCACTAGTATATGCAGTATTGTTGTAGCCGTGTTGGTCCCAGGCTATTAGAGAGACAAGGTGGGTAAGGTAATATCTTTTATTGGACCAAATTCTGTTGGTGAGACAAGCTTTTGAGCTCACACAGAACTCTTATATTTCTTCTTCTGTAAGGCGCTTGTACTTAGCAGTGACATCCTGAAGAAGAGCTCTGCACTTTTTATAGTATTTTCATGAGAGAGAACAATGATTTTAGATAATTGTTACAAAATATCTGTTGCTAAAAACAATTTTCCATGTGATTGACTCTGATGAGCTGATTTTCAGAGGTGCTGAGCACCATGGATATTGGGCCATGCATGGGGAAAAAGGCAAGAGTAATACTCAGCTGCAACAATACCCAACAGCATAAAATGAGAGTGCTGCATATTAAGTAATTTATTTTCAAATTAATTGACTATCTGACTTCAAATGTATGAGTTAGATTAATAGTCTATTAGTGTTTCTATTAATTGTAATAACATTTCATCATGTTGTGTGTACAAACTGGTTACATTCCATGTATACTAGAAATATTAAGCGAATTCTTCAGTATGTAAAAGAATTATATTTCATACAGAATTTTTACTTAAATTACACTTAAACATTGAGCAAGCTTTATAGAGCTGGAAAATGGTATCAGTGGAAGAGGAGTTAGAAATAGGAGCTGTTTCCCTTAGTAAAAACATTCTCTGGGAAAGATGAGTCAGAAGAAATTAGCACTTTGGGATAGGTGCAAAATGTAAGAGCCATCACTTTAATACAGCTGGATAGAATGGCTGCAACAGTAATAGCTATAACAACTTATCTTTTCTGTCCTGTGTCTGAACACAGATATGAAAAGAGAATTAAAATCTGGACACTTCTGTTCTGGACAGGTGGCATCTTTAATAAGATTACCCTAAAAATAATGGAAACAACATTTCTTTTATATAAACCATTAATTTTAGTTCATTACACTCACAACCTGTGTTAGCTTCTTATATGCCCCACTTAGCCCCTACAAATGGTATCCCTGCTGAGGAGTATGATATGATCAAATAGGCTTGTTTTGAATTTCAGTAAATGTTTCAATTTTAGCCCACTGATGTCACACATTTTTCCTGTGTAGTCAGCCTGGTAAATCTAGCAAACAGCAGCACATATTGGGAATTGTTACCATTTGTCTTTATAAAAAAATTAAAACAACAGGAACATGACTTTTGTTTCTCATGGTTCCCCAAACGTGTTTCCCCTTGCAGCCACCAGTCCAGCTTGCCTATAAAATGTGTTCTTATTGAAACTGCTGAAGATTCTCTTTCTTTAACAGTCATTGTTTAGGTCAAAGCTTCTATTTTTCCTTTTCTTTCTTTCTCTCTCTCTCTCTGTTCCAGCCTACTGAATTAATGGTAAATATTCATGGGCTATCTAGATTGATAGGGCATACTAAATTAAAAATTGTTTTCTGTCATGACCACATTTATCATATCTCTCATACCAGCCCTCTAACTTTTATACTAAACTTATCTGTATTAAAACAAGTGATTCCATTCACAGATATTTGTGGAGATGGTAATTATCTGTTAGTGTTGCTATGGCCCTGACATTCAGATCTGCAGCTTGCTGCTACCACCTCTAATCTGTCAAAAGGCAATTATATATATATATATATAGCATGCAAATACTTAGGCATTGTATGAATCTGCCTCGTCCTTGTCACCTGACTTTAAAAAAAATCATAAGTTTTGAATATGAGTCATTAAGCATTTATGCATTACTCTGTTTTCTTCTGAGACATATTTGTGTCAATCCATCAGTTGGAACTAGAATGACTTTTAATTACATCTGTGAGAACTTGGGAAATCCCACCTGGTGAAGAAGCCTCTGTCTCTTTTCTTCCTTCTCCCTCCCCCAATTTTTTAAACCGAAAAGCTCTCCAAGGTCCTGAGCTTAGGGAGAAATTAATTAAAATCAATGGGAAATTTAAATATGAGAAAAGGTTATGGTAATGAAATCTAATAAAGAAACTATATTTTAAGAAGGTCCAAGAGAAGCCAGAAGGGGCCAATCATGATTGATTCAAATGATGGGCTTGGTCAAGGAAAGAGAATATCATGTGTCTTGAGCAATATAAGGAGCTAAGCTATCCACTCACTACAGTACAGTATAGCATAATAATTATAGATTCAATGTATATGTAGCTGCATTTTGCTTGATGTTAATAGACATCAGAACAAACAAAGGAAGTATTTTTTTCACACAATGCACTATCAACCTGTGGAACTCATTACCAGGATATGTTGTAAAAGCAAAAATTATATCTGGATTAAAAAAAAGAATTATATATGTTAATGGAGGATACGTTCATCAATGGCTATTAACCACTATAGTCAGGGATGCAGTCCCATGCTCTGGGTGTCCCTAAACCTCTCACTACCAGACGCTGGGACTGGATGACAGGAAATGGATAACTTGAGGATTGTCCTGTTCAGTTCATTCCCTTTGAAGTATCTGGCATTGGTCATTGTCAGAATACATGATACTGGGCTAGATGGACCATTGGTCTTGACCCAGTGTGGCCATTCTTATGCTCTAATTGCCCTTTCAAAATATTATCCATCTGAATTACTTTATTTAATTGGTTTAATTGATTCTATTGCTGTCTACTTTTAAAGTCGATTCTGTCTTAGGGCCTGGTTTTGCAAAGGGCTGAGTGACCTCAACTCCCATTGAAGTCAGTCTACCATTAGCACAATGGGAGTAGGATTGGACTCCATTGGCTTAATCCATAGCCTATGAATATCAGTGGAAAGATTACCATTGGTTTCAGTGGACCATGGATCAGGCCCGAGATCAATACTTGTTGCAGCAAAATAGGAGAAGAACTTGTTCGCCAAAAAAGATATTATGTGCACCTTTAAGAAAATCTGTAAATCTACATTTTCAGTATCCATGCTTGCTCATCAGAGGGTAACAAATTTTCCAACTACACTGAAAATGTACTGCAAAATTGCAAATGATCCTGGGAAGGAGGTTAGTTGAAGTGTTTGACAGCAGTTATCATTAAGACAAGTTGTCTTCATTTCAGCAACCTGTAAGTTAGGAATCCTTTCGTGATGCATATTTTAAAAAAAA